ATAGTGTAGAGCAATATCCGTCTGGTGCGACAAGGCAGACCTATTTAGGGAGATTACTGCTTCCCACTGAGGGAGGGGGGGGGGTTGTGGGCTATAAAAGGTGCCCTAAACAAAGCTGGGTTCACAACATCTGCGCACAGACCATAGCTCGCAGTTTGCTTAACATGTCGCTGCAATCACAATACAAGACAAAATATCCTCCCCCTCCTCCTCCTCCTCCTCCTCCTCCTCCTACCCTCCGCCCTATCCTACTGACTGATGGGGTGAGTCCATTCACTCGAGCAGCCTGAAATGTTCCTTCCCTTCTAGATAATCCCAAAAGCAGGTGACTGAAACGAAGGTCGGCGCTAGTGGCTCGGGAACTCGTGCGCTACAAGGAGGACATTGCTGCCCTCAGCGAGACCCGTTTTTCCGAACAAGGCTAACTGCAGGAGGTGGGTGTCGGCTACACCTTCTTCTGGAGCGGTCGCCCACAGGCTAGAGCGACCTGACGCGTGTAATGATCTTCCCTTCCGTACTCGATGCTGAGACTTCGCCTAGGCGGAGTAATTAGCCACGCGAGGGGCGCACAGGTGAACACTTTTCCCTACACCAAGTTCGTTGGGTCAGATTGTCAAGCCATCATCACACCAATATCCGACGCACGTGGTGAAATTGCAGCAATTAACGACGCGAAAGTCGGCCATCACACCACGTTCGACGATCCCGGATGAAGGGGGGAATCGTGAAAGGTTTGCAGTAGCATGGCTACTGCATCCTATAAATACTGCGGTCCCTTGTGCATGAATCACCCGTATCTACTCCTGTCACTGATGATGGGTTCGAGCAGGAATCCGAAAGGTCAGGCTAATAAAGCCCTTGTCCCAGCGATCGTGTCTCCTTCTTCAATCCTAGAAGAATGGGAGTTTGGGGGACCGGAAGACGAAAAGGACTAATATGGTGCGTGCAGTATGATAGCTTTCTTTGTTATTGTGCGGTTGGTACAATGACGTCTAAGGCATTACGTCTACCAACCTCCTGCCCCGTCTTCGGCAATGCGTGCATGCACCGCTCGGGCCATCTGTCTCCAAGTCTTACCTCGACGGCTACTTCCGGGATTTCTCGCGTTGAACGATGACCTTCCGCATTCAATGTGGATTTCGTGAAGAGGTCGTGGTCCTCCTCCCTCCACACGGTTCCAAAAGCTGCTACTGGTGACTGGTGCTCCTGCGGTAACTTTATCAGTTTAGTTTATTTGATAAGGATGATAGGCAAAGCCTTTGAAAACCCTATTGATTACATGTCAACTCGTTAGAAATAACTATACACTAGCAGTGACAATATTCGCTATATAAGTAGTACTTGATTCATTTGAGTAGCATTGTCACAGAGCAAAAAATATGTGGGGAACCGGGGTATTTAGCTCAGATTCAGACTGTCGAGGGAAAACAGGGGACACAAATAATCATCCAAGCGTTTCTTGAAGAGTTGAAGGGATGTCGCCTCCACGACTGACTGAGGGAGATCATTCCATTTCTCCACTACCGTCTGCGTGAAAAATTCAGAACGAAGGTTCAGCCTGGACATTGCTGTCCGTAGCTTCATCGAGTGGCCACGAAGATTGGGTGAAAGGTGCCACTGAAACATGTCCTCAAATTTAAGTCCATGCTCAAGGCCATTTATTATCTTGTAAACCAGGATTAGATCACCTCTTTGCTGCCTGTAACACAGAGGGAATAGATTAAGGCAATTCAGTCTGTCCGTGTAGGATTGGTTTTTTAGACCGTTTACCACCTTTGTTGCCCTACGTTGCACCCGTTCGAGGCATGCTTGGTCCTTTACAAGCCATGGCCGCCATGCTTGTATGCCATATTCTAAGTGGGACCGAACGAAGGTGCCGTAAACTCTCCCAAAAAGGTCTTGGTCAAAGGTAACGAACGCCCTTTTGATTGCGTGCAGCACTCCCATTGCTTTTTTTGCAGCCTTGTGGCACTGCAATGTTGGTTTCAAATTGTTCTGTATCCAAACCCCGAGATCCTTCTGTGAAGATTCTGCGGGGAGTCTTATATCTTTCAGATGATATGTCCTCAGGCTCTGATTTGAATGAGAGTTAGTTGGACGCAGATGGAGGACGGCACACTTCTGCACATTGAAGTCTAGAAGCCATTTCTCCGACAACGCTTGCAGTCGATGAAGATTGTTTTGGAGGGATCGCTGGTCGTTAGGACTCTCAATGACTTGCCAGAGCTTAACGTCGTCAGCAAACATTATTTTGCCACAGTCGAGTTCCTGAAGGCTGTCATTAACAAAAAGGAGGAATAGCAATGGTCCCAGAACTGAGCCTTGAGGCACACCACTGGTCACGCTCACCCATTCTGACATATCATCACCGATACAAACACGTTGTTTCCGACCAACCAGAAACGCCCCTATCCAGTTCAGAAGATCTGCCCGGATGCCGATGGCGCTCAATTTGTGAAGAAGGCGTTGGTGCGGAACAGTATCTAAGGCTTTGCGAAAATCGATGTACACGACATCAACTTCAAAACCCTCTTCTAGGGCCCTGGTCCAGATCTCCAGACAAGCTAGCAGATTTGAGAGACAAGAACGTCCTCTCCGGAAGCCATGCTGAAAATCCTGCAAGAGGCTACTTTCTTCACAAAATTGCTGTATGGCACTCTTTACTAGAGCTTCCATCGTTTTGCACGAGAGGCAGGTTAGGCTAATAGGCCTGAAACAGCTTGCTCGGAGCCCACGGAGTGGCATTACCATAGAGACCAAATTGTGTCGGTCAAGGATGTAAGATCAACAGTAACCACACACAATGCATTTCGTTCCGTCGGTAACAATCGGGAGATGGCACCCAAAAAATCCGTTACCTAGAAATAATACCTCGAACAGTGAACTCAAAGGCCTTCAGGCTATATCAGCGGTTGCAGACCTACTTCACGGACTACTTGGACTTTCCCCGACGACCTAACATGGGCTGGCCGAACGAACATCGCAGGAGGTTAAATGGACGATGGTCGCTATTACCCAACCTTCCACATCGTTACACATATACACCTGAATATACGGCATACATTCGCATTATGGCAGTTTATTACAAAACATAATCACTTTTAAATAGGATAAGTCTGCACAACATGGGACAGGAACAGTTCCCAGGCATCTGTCAAAGACATGGCATTGAGGCAAAACCGAAGAAGATACTGTACTTCGTCTATGTGGGCCCACACAGCTCGACCACATACAGGGCCTCCCTCGTGGAGTTTCCTTTGCAGAAGAGGCAGGTTAAGCTAATAGGCCTGAAACAGCTTGCTGCCATCCTGCTACCGCCTTTATGTAAGGGAACGAGGTTAGCTGTCTTCCACTGTGATGGCAGCCTTCCTGTTCTCATTGACAGCTCAAAGAGCGTCAAAGAGGCTTCACCAGCTCCTTTGATAGCTCCTTAAGTATCAGACCAGGAATTCCGTCGGGTCCAGGAGACTTATCTGGTTTTATTTGACTGAGGACGCGTCTTACTTCTTCGACGGAAAAGGCAACGGTTTCGATGACGGCAGTATCTTGGCTTATTTGAAGGTCCCGGCTGTTTCGGTCCATTTCAAACTGCTGATCGTCTTCTGAGGACTCCTCCGTAAAAACCGATTAAAAAAACTCAGACATTAACTGCACTTTCTGGGGCCCTTCGACTAACAAGTTTCCGAGGCTATCCTTAAGACACGCAAATTCGTCCCTATGTTTTCTCCTACTACGGATGTACTTGTAAAACTTCTTGGGACATGTAATGGATTCTGCTACCAGTGGGCGCTCGGAAGAAGTTCTAGCAATCCGTATTTGTTTGCGGCACTTATTGCGCTGATCCTTATATTCGGCGAATGATACTGGATCTCGAAGTTGCAAATACTTTTCCCACAGCCTCTGTTTCTTCTTCATGGCCTTTTTTGTCGTCGGATTGACCCACGGCGGTCGCCCACATGGTCTGGTTATTTTTAGTGGGCAACAGGAGTCAATTAGACGCTCTATAATCCCGCGAAAGTACTGCCAGAATTCTTCAGAATCTTCGTTGTTGACTAACCAGGTTTCTTCCAAAAGAGCACGTCTCATTGCGTTAAAGTCAGCCTTCCAAATATTTCTGCGACTCTTGATTTTTGGTTGTTGGTTCGATAGGAGAGAGCACACGCATGTAAAAGCAATATGATCGCTTAAACTACAGAACTACAGAGCCTCAAACAACGCAACTATCCCGGACCACTATTCTGTGCTACAACTTCAAGATTTTGCCAGTGCATTTCACCAGACACACATTGCTTCAGAGGATGTTTCAAAAACGGCCGTCACTTCTCCCTTTGACCTCTTTGAGTTGTTGCTTATGCCGCTTGGACTTCACAACGCCTCCCAAAACTTTCCGAAAGTTCGTAGACAGAATGTTTCGTGGTCTGCCCTTTGTCTACGCCTATATTGACGACATGTTGGTAACCGCTCATCTGACCAAGAACATATGGAGCATCTTTCAACGGTGTTTGACCTACTTCAACAATTTGGAATAGTTCTCAACCCGTCCAAGTGCGTTTTCGGCGTTTACCTCCTCGAGTTTCTCGGATACCTAGTTGACTCCACAGACATCCATCCCCTTCCTTCGAAGGTCACGGCCATCCGTGAATTTCCACCTCCTACATCCAAGCGTCAAGTGGACCGGTTGTTTGGCCTGATTAACTTATACCACCGGTTCCTCCTGCAATGTGCCGACATCATTCTGGCGTTCACGAGCCTCCTCTCGGATCTCAAACGTTCGTTCAACCTGTCTAGAAAGGGCCTTGTCGCTTCTGACGAGCTTAAGGACAGGAAACTCCTGATCCATTTAACCACTCTTCCTTGAAATCCTATATCCCAAGTCTCCTGTAAAAGAAGCCTAACTGGGAAGCTTTCAGAGGACTTCCTGAAGTCAAAAAAATGGCCCTTGTCCATTTCTCACGCGAGTAAGGAAAACTCGTGAGGCAAGAGCGTCCCGGACGAAATCCATGTTTGGCATCACTCAGTATTTCGTTACTCTCCAGGTATTCCATTAAATGTCCTTTGACAATGCGCTCCATTATTTCTGCAAGCTAGACTGACAGGAGGGTGGTTTTCACAGTCAAGTCGTGAACTTCCATTATGGATCGGGATGATGAATGCACGCTTCCATTCTTTCCGGGAGTTCGCCTTCTTCAAAGGACTCTCGAAATATAATAGATGGTGGTTCGCACAATTAGATAGCAAGTTGTTGAGGTGGTAGTGCAGGAATTCTATCCCGGCCAGGCGATTTGGTAGGCTTCAATTGGAGTAATTCGACCCTAATTAAAGGCTGACGAAAAGTATGGATCCCCTATTGAGGAGGGGAAGTAGGGAGAGGAGGTGGAGGGAGGGGAGAGGAGGAGGAGTCTATTTAGACGAGCGGTACGCCACTGATGGCGTCAGTGGTCGGACATTCTTAGCAGATATGGTGATGCTTAACAGTTCCACATCCCGTACCGGATTATCTATCTCAGTCATAGCGGTCAGTTTGCAAGTGAAATAAATCATGACTCCTCCTCCTGGGCTTGGTCTACCACTCCTGAATGTATGATATCCTCTGAGTGATATTTCCGAATCAAAAATATCCTCAGCAAGCCACGTTTCGGTGAAAGTCATGATGTCTGTTTTAATTTCATCAACTAATTCTCTTAGTTCGTCTAGTTTGTTGAACAGGCTTTTTGCATTTGCAGAAATAACCTTCAGTGACTGTTTCATTAGGGAGACCCAGCCTTCAATGTGACAGGTTTTGACCACAGTAAAGACTCCTTGGTCTGGATTATTTGGCCTTTTTGATTTTTAGCCCTTTCTCTCCTCTGCCAATTCTCTCACTCTATTCACTTCTTAGGTCCCTCATTTTCAGCCTTTACCTAGGTTCGTAGTCCGGCTGAAAAAACACTTCTTTGTGCCGGCTAGTCTGTAACGCCGCCAAAAGAGATTTCTTTTGGTGGGGCTCGGAAACGCTGTCCTGATTGGTCAACAAATTATCACCTTCGTACTTTTATTGATTTCAGCAGGCGTGGTACTGCTTGCGGTTACCTCCAATTTGAGGTGCTTCGCGCACTGCTGTGATTGTAATTCACAATTAGCTTAGGGTTCGATTATGCAGTTAGGATTTAAGGTTTGGGGTTTAGGGTGGGGCTTTGGATTTATGGTTAAGGTTTAGTGTCAGGGTTTAACGTTAGTGTTTAGGTTTAGGGGGCCATTCGGCACCCACTTCCTACAACCTGCATCTACAGCTTACGTCCGATTGGTCACATTCTTAGACGGTTCATTTTCAATGGCCTTGACAGACCCGCCACACTTATTCTTCCTGGAATTGGTTTAACTGGTTACCTTCAGTGAACTTTTGTATTGTGCGATGCTTGTACATATAATACCTGCCCATTTCTCCTTGTTTTTGCACATTCTGCATTATTTTCCCGCTTCCATATTGGACGCGCCTCGGTTTCCGCATTTCCCAGCACGACCGCCTCTTATTTAAAGAGGCCTGATCTTTTGAATCCATCCACTTTGGACGGTTTGCAATTGTCCTTATCCTGAGAGGGCAGTTTAGGTAAACAATCCTTTTCACTAAGGAACTGTAAGCAATCCAGTGGTCATTTTCTCCGCCACGAAGTTCGGTTCACCATGATACATCTAACGCTTCATTTTCAATGAGTGGGTAGTCCGCCTTCCAAATGTTTCTTTCCCACCGATGAGGCAAAGTTGGTTTGGAAACCAGTGAGTACTCGAAGTACAGCCCAATACGATCGCTTGACCGTAATGCCGGTCAATCCTGCAGGTCTAGCACATGTTCATCCCCTCGGATAAACATCAGGTCACGGCAGTTCGACTGTTGTCATTCTCTGGTCCCACACGTCTCTAGCACCTGGCATAGTGCGTTAAAAGCCCTGACTTGGAAGGTTGCCAAATGAGGGGATAACTCAGACCTCACAGACAGCCCAGTGTGTGTTTGGGTGGAGTGGCCGACTGGTGGACTGACAGGCTGACTGAAATGGCCCCTTCTTAACGTTGTAGCAGCCACTCCAGTCCTCCCCTTCTCCGGCACCGTTTTATCGGTCGATCGCCGTGACAACCGTTGACAGGCTGTTGACGCACGGCCACCCCACGCCGTCTAGAGCTGAGGCACCCACTCTCCACCTGCCCTCACAAAACTTTCTTCACCTCACGCCCCTCGGACGGTCTGGCTTGATACCCGCCCAACCACATGATCGACACTCAGCCAGTCACTCCCTCCTGCTGAAACAGACATGCAATGCCGCGTAAAGAACACACGGCGACTGATGCCCCCCAGGAACGGACTCTTAGCTCTGTCACAAGCAAACAGCCAACTCACGGCAACCTGCCCTGTGTACAGAATAAACCTGTTCTCACAGCTCCCTGACTTCTGACATAAGACGGAACGGGTAACAATCGGGAGATGGCACTCAAAAAAATCCGCCTAACAAACGCAGTCTGTCTTACGGGACAGGTGGTAATAGGGGTTTTATGAGTGATGGCTGGTGGGAATGTACGATACTAGCTGACAGAAAGCCTTATTTGAACAGATGACTGATCGAAGTTGGCCTGCTCTCCGTCCCGTTACTACAAAATGGGTCGCCAAAGGCAGTATAGTGGTAACGGACGAGTGGAAGGCGTATAATCGTCTTCCCTCAGAAGGTTATCTCTGTTAACAACTCAAAGAACTTCAAGGCCCCTATCACCGGACGGCACACCAATGCCATTGAGACATACTGGAGTAGACTGAAAAGGAAACTCCACGAGGGAGGCCCTGTATGTGGTCGAGCTGCGTGAGCCCACATAGGTCAATATATTTTAAGAGTAATAGGCAATGCCTTTGAAAACCCTATTGTAAACGGTACATGCAATATCTCACTATAAATAGACATGGTACTGAAATATTGTCAGTAATATACACATTTAACATAATATTTTCCACGAAAATGTAGAACCAAAATTTTAGAACATTCAGTTGTAGATGATTTCAGTTAAATGTAATGACGGTCATCCGCATCAGCGGTATGGGTATGCAAGGCGTTGGTTAAGCACCACAGAGCTGTTCTATTCAGGCAAGCGATAGTGTCCAAGCAAATATGCATCGAGTCTTTGCTTGAACGTCTCCGTGGTATCCGCCATTATTACGTCCTCGGGAAGCCCGTTCCAGGCACCGACGACTCGTTGTGAAAAACAGTATTTGCGAACGTCCAGGCGGCATCGGGATCCTCTAAGTTTTAGAGAGTTCCCACGCAGGTTTGTTGTTGTGGCCAGGGTGAAGAAATCGTCGGGGTTTAGGGCACATTCCCGACGATTTCTTCGGGAAGTACAGTATCGTCTTCGGTTTTGCATCAATGCCTTGTCTTTGACAGATGCCTGGAAACTGTTCCTGTCCCATGTTGTGCAGACTTATCCTATTTAAAAGAGATTTTGTTTTGTAATAAACTGCCATAATGCGAATGTATGCCGTATATTCAGGTGCATATGTGTAACGATGGGGAAGGTTGGGTAATAGCGACCATCGTCCATTTAACCTCCTGCGATGTTCGTTCGGTCAGCCCATGTTAGGTCGTCGCGGAAAGTCCAAGTAGTCCGTGAAGTAGGTCTGCAACCGCTGATATAGCCTGAAGGCGTTTGAGTTCACTGTTAGAGGTATTATTTCTAGGTAACGGATTTTTTGGGTGCCATCTCCCGATTGTTACCGACGGAACGAAATGCATTGTGTGTGGTTACTGTTGATCTTACATCCTTGACCGACACAATTTGGTCTCTATGGTAATCCCACTCCGTGGGCTCCGAGCCATCCCACCTCTCCTCTTCTTGTCTAAAATCCTGGTCGGTGTACGCCGCGGACCAGGGGATGTAGTGGCAGGCCCAGGTGCAGGTTCACTCGCCGCGCCAGGCATCTGCCTCCTCTCGCGCCTCCGGTCCCCTCGACTCCATCTTGACACCGGATCTAGGTGGAAGAGGGTGCGGCAGATTCAGCCCACTGTGCACATTGTCAGTAACGACGGTCAAGCTGCCACATCTTAAGGCATGCAAATGGCAGACTTTGCATGTGATGTAGGTTGCGGAGCAGAGCACAGCACTGTAGACCCCAGTGACAGTTGAGGACTGAAGGAGACAATCACCACCTGCGTCAGGCCGGCCAATTGACCTATCGCAATTAAAAGGGGATGATACGAAACGTCTTCGCGAGCTCTTCAGAGCCAAAAAACTATCCATGAGCATTGGTAGAGGGGAGTCATGTGCCACGAGAGAATTGGAATGGAGAGGGCAGTCAGCCCATATCATAGGGGAGCATTCTCAATGTGCGGTGGGTTTCCGGCTAGATCCCTCGCCCTACTCAGAACAAGAGTTGCACATAGAACCGACTACACAATCCGCCGGCAAGTGATGCGACCATACGACTGTTCGAATCACCTCGGGGCCACCAATTTGTCTGTGCCAGCAGGAGGAAGTGACTGGCTGAGTGTCGGTCATGTGGTTGGACGGATTAAAGGATGAATAGGGGAGGTGGGCGGGGCATACTCACAATGTCTCACGGGTATCAGGCCAGGCCGTCCGAGGGGCGTGAGGTGAAGAAAGATTTGTGAGGGCAGCTGCAAGTCACTGCAGATGGAGAGGAGGTGCCTCAGTTCTGGCCGGCGGGGGTGGGGGTGGCCGTGTGTCAACGGCCTGCCAACGACTGTAGCGGCCATCCACCGACAAAACGGTGCCAGGGGAAGGGGACTGGAGCGGCTGCTGCAGCATCAGGCAAAATGCGCCATACAATGAGAACTGAGTCGAAGTCACCATTCAGAAGGTCAGACCCCAAATAAATCTCGTCCTTTCTAGCTGATTAATTGAGGGGGAGAGTCTGAGGTAGCCCACCAGTAATTGAGAGATGCCATTAACGGTAACACATACTGGCGGTTACAGTCACCGCTCACGAAACACAATTTTATTCCACTCATGGGGCAAAATGGTGTGGAAAATGTCTTGTCCAAAATGACACGCAGATGTGCAAAATACCATGCTATCTATGGATTCATGTAGTAGTGAATAGGATTTCCTCTCATGAGTCCAGCCCAGAACGTAGAATATAGATGTGGGTACGATGGCAAAAGATCCTCCCCAAACATCGTATTCACTGGCACGATGTCGACAGTCTGGCCGTCCAGAGACTGACTGCAGATCCAGGTAAGCCTTCGTAATTCCCAAACCAGAACAAGCCAGCGTAGACAGGGCATCCTCGCAAATACAGCCTCCACCTGTTCCCTCTCCAATGTCGGTTCGCTGTCAGAGAGATAGAGAAGAATGCAAGGTGCCTGCACACAGTCGGCCAGTTCAGACAGATGTTCAACAGTAAAGTCATCGGCAAGTAACCACTGGAGTGTTTCCAGCCTCCAGGGAGGACTGCTTCTGGCCATCCAATCATCTCCATAGCTGCCTGAATAACAGACAAGCGTTTTCAAGCACGGACAAACACCGCAGAAATTATCGATATTGGTCCCCTGAAAGTAATTGTTTCGATCTACTTCAAGGTATTCGAGGGATGGAAACATCTCCAGAAAGGGTCGGAGGTCAGCAGTTGAAATTCTTTCCATGCTGAGGCACCCACGACTCAGGAATGACCCACCGTTGGCTACTAACTCACGTACACTTGACACCTGATCACAAAGACTCACAATCCGTCTCAGAACCTGGTCATCTCTAAGACAACCAAGAAGCAACTCTGCTGAAATGTCGAGTGAGACCAGAGTATTCCTCTGAACAGCCAAAATAGGCAGGAATTTCAGCCTGACTACCACCCCAAAGTCGTGGGCCACGCTTGCCCCAGGAGGTCTCTCATTCAGTGATATCGTAATAGATCCGTTCACTGAAGTTATGGTGCATCGAAGGTGAGAAATGCCCACATCGCTCTTCACAATCATCTCTTCAATGTCACTCCTCTCAAGGGCCTCGCCAAGACGACGACCACCATTGATGATGGGTTCAAGACAATATTGCAGATGAACCTCCTTGAGGGAGAGCGGAACGATCAAGTCCCCACTGAGGTAGAGTTCACTGCAGCCTCTGAACCTCGTCCCCGATGGGCATGACGACCTGCCATTGGGATCTGCGAATGCCAGGGTCACATCAGCACCGGTTCGGAGATCACAGGCTCCGCAGTCATTGAGGGCATTGTCTCGACATCCCTTCGAGATGGAAAAGTGTATGCGGGCACCCGGGAACAAGGAATTGCATTTCGACCTAAGCCCAAGATACTCAGACACCTCGGACCAGTTCAGAACCACAACTTCAAGATTGGGAAATCGGATTCCCTCATGCCATTCCACAATAAACAAAAACCTCAGAGATGCTCGTAGTTTGTGGAGGTTTTCGAAGGAAATATGGGCTTCTGAGGAGTGGTCGCATGTCCTACAGTTTGGTGGATAGTCATTCAACAAGGCAAGCTGTCTAGTGTTCCTCAGATGACGTAGCACTGAATAACAACACCTATGACACCAACCTTTGACAAAACGGACACTCGCATAGTCCAGTGATGGGAAACAGCCCACCTCCCTCTCAACGCACGCCGTACTAAGCACATTCCTCACGTGACACAGACTCAGGCTTAGACGACGCAATCTGGGCAGACGATGGCTTCCAAAGTGAATAAAATAATCCGACAGATTGAGACATTGATCGCTGATGTCCACTGATACCACGTTCACCAGAGGCATGCTGACAAATGCATTCAGAAAACTTCTTATTCCCTCTCCGCGCACGGGCCCTCCATTCCAGAGGGCAAGTTCCACCGTCGAGTCAGTCGACTGCCATAGCAGTTGCTCGATCGCCAGCTTCTTGTCCATCCAGTCATCATCTACCAATATGACGATGGGACTGTTGAGAGCGAATTGTGGGAAGGCTAGGTCGAAATTTGACTGGTCCAGACGCGATAAATATCGACGCAGTCTTTTCCTCACTGCTCTCGTTTGAATGGCAACCTGACAAGTGGATGCTGCATTATAAACCTCGGTGGAACTCACCTTGAAGCCCTGTTCGGCTGACATACTGGAAAACGGATTGCAGTCCATAGCTGAGGCGGCATATGCGTACATGGGAAGCGCAGTGTGACTGGCGCTATTTACGTGTTGAATGTCACCTATGAGAAGGGCTCTCAGGGCTTGCCACCTACGATCTCTCAGGCCTTACAGCCAATCAGATTTCGACGCCCAACCAATGAGGTTGAAAAGCCGGCAAGTGTGATATAGTGACCTCAGACCGCCCCAGATTAACCCTTGTTTGGTTATCTACTGATGCGTTTGCGAGCGCTGGCTGGCTGTCAGTGCCGACGGGCTAGTCTGAGGTTGAGTATGAGACTTCTTTAAACACAGACACCAAGCGTTTGATGACGGTGAACCAAGGCAAGCGTACGTGTCGGCAGCATGTAAGCGTGTGCACTCTGATCAGTAGACCCACCAGAGGCGATCGTGTGCAGATGCCGTCTTGACGTGCGGTTATGAGAAATTTGTGCACCTTGTGGAACGGGAATTATGAAGATCAGGATCAGTGGTGATTCAAGCCAACGGCACCGTGCAATCCATATGATGGCCATTGGCAAGACAGGTGAAATTGTTCGGAGAACTGTCAGGGCTCCCGACCGACCGTAGACCACCTTCTTTCAAATGCTGACCGTATGAAGTCGCCTAGACGACGAGCAGTACGCGTGTCAGAGGTACTTCAAAGTAGGAAAGTCGTCCTTTCTTAGTGAGTTTTACTCGACAGGACGAACCCAGTTACTTCCTAGAGCACGCGGAGTGTTTGCTTGGAGATTCGCCACTACTTGGTGCAGCCGCTGGTAAGAATTACTCAACAGATTATTGAAGGAGCGATTTTGCCTGACCATTTGTTGCAAAAAACGCAGACAATCTTCTGCGGTGTCCTGTAAATCGTGGTTTGGGGATTTTAAAGTGAGCGCCTAGACTTGTTCCCTAATTTACCAATCCATATTGCAATGATTCCCTCCCAATGTGGCCTCCGTAAAATGTCCTACTCAGAGTGTCGCAAGAGTGCAAAATGAGGCCTATTTTGACAAAAATTAAACCCATGGTTGTGAGTGTAGACTGTGGAGGATGACGTTTAGGAATATCGCAACCAAAATAGGTGGAA